AAAATTAATTTACAGAAAAATCATTAATATAATAAAATGAGACTTACAAATAATTTTTTCAAAAAAAGAAAAAATCATTATATTAAAAAATCATTTTAATAACAAACCATTTACCTTATTAAAATTATAAAATTGTGAGTGATAATTAATGAATCTGAGACTTTATAGATACTAAAAAGATCCTAGAAAAAATTTTGAAAATAGCAGTATAGAAAGTTAAATTACAAGTCAAAACATAGCTGTGAAGTAAATAAAGCATTTATTATCATCAAAGGTTAATCATTCAATCCCTTATTCCAACCACTGTTCAACTTTTACTTACTAAAGAACCTGCCCATTTTTCTTTATTTTTCTACTGTTAGCTTAGACACCGACATCCAACTACAAGAACGCAGCAATCTCAACGTAAACAAAGAATGTTTCCCGCATTCAATATAGTATTGAGGAAGACAAATTCTGAGATCTAAATAAACCGAAAGAACGCAAATGAAAATTAAATTATGCTTGAACCATGTGGCTAAATTCATAATATAACGTGACCTTTAAAAAAAATGAGTAATATAATTCAATAAATCTATAAATTGCTCCGAATATAGCTTTCTTCGAGTAGATTGAATCCCACGTTTGCAAAAATTGTGATGGTGTGTGATGAAGGTCGAATTTGATCGGAAGACACGTCATTATTAAGTCAACGGCTTAACTTTGCACATATTTTTTAAGAAGAAAGTTTGGAGACAATGAACGTTGAACCTCCGAACTTGAACGACTCTAAAGTAAGGTTACCGAACTAATCACTAACGTTTTGAATGGTAATCGTTTAACTATATTCCCACCTCATAGCACATCTTATACTTAAAATCACGGAAGCACACAACCCTAATGGTTACCTCCATTTCAAATAAATACCCAAAAGAAAATGGAAAGAGATACGAAAACATTAACATTTCAATCGAAATTCACTCTCTAGAATCCTGCACTGACAAGGGCTTTGGACTACAGCTAACTCCTTTTTTTTTTTTTTCAAGATCCTCAATTATCTTCGAACATTTTTGGAGACCTTAATGTTTCGACCTATAATTTTTCTTGGTAAAAAAGCAGTGTGTGTAGTAAAATATAGATTGGAATGAATTAGATAGATTTTGGGAGATAAAAGAGGAGAAGCAAAGTGAGAAGAATAGAGATATAAGGTATGGTATCCCCATAATATTAATAACACAAAAGGAGTAAGAAACGACATGAAAGGGCCATGTGGTTTCACTGCACTGCCCCTTTAGCTGCTGCTGCCAATGCCATAAACCCTTAATTCCTAATCAAAACTCTAACTTTCCCTCTATAGCAATCTCTCTCTCTCTCCTCTGCATCATCATTCATCATTCATCTTTCATCTGCAGACAAAATTAAAGACCCATTGTCACGTCGTCAAGTCAAGCCCATTAAACGCATCCCCTTTGCCTTTTAATGGCAACAATTTGTTGGGACCTGCCTTTTAAATTCCCTTTGATATGCAAATACTCAATTTTCCACTACCCTTTTATGCCTTGTTCCATCACCTTCTCTTCTTTTGGACAAACAACAAATTCTTAAACACACCCACCAATTTTCCCCTTTTCTCCCTCCTGATCTCCCCACCTACCTCATTCTTCATTATATTCATTCACTCTCTATCTCATGCCTTTCTTTGTTTTTTGAATGTTGCTGTTTGGTTCAGATCATTTAATATATTCTCATCATCCTAGGGTTCAGACTTCAACATTTGTCATTCATATCAATAAAACAAGCTAGGAAACAAGATGATGTGTTGGGGAAGTTGTCATGATGCATGACATTCTCTTAATGTGAATTTAAAAAGTATAAAAAAAGGGGGTGCAGAGGCAGCATATAATTATAATATATATGGACTTGATTCCAAGAGTTGGTGGCAGAGTTTTGGAGAGATTGAGAGAGAAGAATGGATTCACAAGGGAGGAAAAAATTCTAAGTTAATTTCAAACAGATGTAGAGAGTGGTTGCATTTTTACATCATACAATAAATACAACATATAAAAAAGGGAATGAATGTTGTGATGTATTTGACTACTTGTCTCTTGTCGATCATCATATTTATTATATCCCGTTAAGGTTAAAGAATTTCATGTCGAAACAGATAAAAAATCTAACAAAAGTTTATAATATAAATTGACTACCTTCTCTCGCTTTCAATTAATTTTTTGATAGTCAAATCGACCATCGCTCAACGATAATTGACATATATTTTCAACCAAGAAGTTGTGAGTTCAATACCCTACCTCACATTTATACTAAAACGAAAATAATTTTTTAAGATGGAGCTGATGAATCTTGATATGATATGATAGCCTAACAAGCTCAAACGAGCATCAAGCCAAGATTATTGTTTAGAACTGTCATTAAAAATCGAATTTGTTGTACTTTACCCCTCTATTAATTAGTTTTGCATTTCAATTTTAAAAGATAACCTACAGTCAAAAGTTGAATTTTCACTTTGATGATTCAAATCTCATCTTTCCAATAATATAAATCCACTCATCTATATGATTGGTATAATCTAAATGCCCGTTCTTTATAACCATTTTGTTACTAAAAATTAAGCTTTTATGTGTGTTTTTTTTTATCTTCTTTCTTTGGAAAAAAAATTAAAAGCTAAGTCAAATTTTAAAAATTAAAAAATATAGTTTCAAAAACTTGTTCTTATATTTAAAGTTGGCTTGGTTTCAAGAAAACAGAAGAGAAACGGTGAGAAAACCATTATACAGTTTTAAAAACAGAAATTAAAAAATAAAATGGTAATAAAGCTATATAAATTGAAACTTTCCATTTCTAAGTTACAGAAATATGAACTTTCTGTCCCCAGAGGCAAAACAACCCCTAAAGAAGATTGTGCAGGAAAACCCAATAGAAAAAAGAGGCAACTCAACTGGCCTGCACACAATTATTAGTCTCTCAGTTAAATCTTCATAAATCAATCAATCAAAAACTGCTACCTCTCTGATCAGACCTTAATTAACTCGTGCGTTATAATTAACACAAAACAAACTATTTGATATTAATTGCATCTAGCTAGCTCCACCAAAATTCCGTGCTTAATTATAGTTTTACTGATCAATTTGTTAATTTCTATTATGTTTTGAGTGAAATCAAAGACAATTCCTTCTAATCTTTTCTCTAGCTTTTCTTATTGTTACAATCTGGAAGGATTGATCCGAACTTTTAGTTACACAGACTGTAGAATTAACAAGTAGTTGTGGAATTAAGTAGAAAGGCCTTAGCCTCTACTTCAAAAGTGAAAAGAAAAAAATGGAATTGACAAAAAAACAAACAAGAAACTCAGATGGGAAATTCAAGATAGAATTTTCTCACCGGAAATTGAGATTTTTCTCAACCTTTAGAGAGACCCCCAAGCCTGAGCTCAAGATCCACATCATGCAATTGGCTAGAGCTAATTCCAATTACCTCTGATTGGATATGGTGATGATGAAGATGGTAAAATTGTATTGATTTTTCATCATCAGTTTTCCTCTTCTTGCAACCGGTAGCCGCCCCGGTCTCATCCCGACCGCCGTTGTCATCGTCGTCCTCCTCCTCCTCGGGCCGAGGTTGACGAAGACCGAAATTCAACTGGCCCTCATTTGAAAACCCAGCAGCTTCGATTACATGATCTTTATCCATAACCCTAGGGCAAGAAATTCTCGAATCGGATCTGGTCGGGCGGGGATCGAGCTCATCGGAACAAAACCCGGAACACGATGGATGAGTTGTTGAAGAAGAAGTAGAAATAAGTTGGTGATGAGAAGGGGAGAATTGAAAAGGCAAAGTGGGTGTGAAATTAGGAAAATTTTGAGGGTTTGGGGATTGTTTTAATCTAGCCCTATCTCTCCTATGGACATTCATATGGCCTCCCAAGGCTTGAGCTGACCGGAATTCTCTTCTACAGAAACTGCAAGAATAAGATCTCGGCGGCCAAACGCAGCCCCCAAGGCGGCCAGCGGCGGCGGCATCTTCTGCAAAAGCTTGCTCTTCCCACGACTCATTATATTCAAAACTGCTTTTGGTTTTGGTTGCAGAAGAATCATCGAAATCAAAATCATGTCTCTGCTTTGTCCACATCCAATTCAAATTCAGAAACCAATACAGATTTTGGAATCCAAGAAAAGGTTGTGAATTAGAGACTCCAAAAATTTAAAATCAAAATTAAAAAATGGGTTTTTTTTTGGGGGGTTTTTGGGGTTGGGAATCTTTCAGATGGAGAGAGAGAACAAGAACTACAAGAACTGATCTGATCTCTTGGGGTGTGGTAATAATATGTAAGGGAAATTTTTGTTTTTGTGTTTTTGGGTTGTTGTAAGTGTAAGTTGTATTATGGATGGTGGATTTTTCATATAAAGTTAAATATAGTTTTTGGGGATGATGGATACTTGAAGACAAAGAGAAATGATATGACTGAAACGTCCTTGAATGTTGCCAGCAAAAAGATTTCGCATGAGAACTCTCTCAGAATGGGGCGCAACAGTTTTTATTTCAATTATTTTATCACTGCATATCATTTTTATTGGAATTATATCATTCTTAATATTTCTCATCTTTTTGAGTAATGCAATGGATTTTTATTATTATTGTATATTCAGCTCAACCAGGCCTGATTTCTGCTGTTATATTTTGGAAAAATGCTATTTAGGCTCGTTTGATAATGCATAAAATAAAATACGGACGTTATTTCTTTCGTAAATTTGATCAAGCGGCTTTACGTTCATTCTCTAGGCCTTCGTATTCAAGCATCTCGCTTTCATTTCTCATTGTTGCAATGCTAACAAGAGAGGTATTGATTTTTCTACGAGATTCGTATATGAAAAAGTACAAATTGAACTATATAAGAAGACAAGGCCCAAGGGAAACAGGAACGAAAATGTTTTCAATTTTGGGAGTCTCGGTACGTTCTTATGTTTCTAAAAATTTTATATTGTTTTTTATCATTTGATTAAAATTTGCAAACATTTTTGCCTTTAGTGAAAGAACTAGTGACAGAAATTCAACATGATGACAAAATATTTATGAACATTTAAAACAAACCTCAAGAATGTGATATTTTGTTTTATTAACTTTCACATGTAGGAATTAATTAAAAAACACTGAATTCAGGTTGGGTTTTTTTAAAGGCTTTTTTGGTTGAAAAGCAAGAAAATGGCTAGAGCTAATATTGTTTTAAAATTCAACAATTAATTACTTCATTTAAGTGACTTCATTTTCAAGTACACAACTACGAAATAACTAGTCGAGTTTTTTTTTTTTNTCTCTAAAATTAGAACATTAATGCTAAAATTGCAATTTAACCAATAAAAATAAGTTTTTGAAAAACTTTTGTTTAGTTTTTATAGTTAAACAAATATTTTTAAAATATTTTTTATAATAGATTATAAATTTTATCTAAAAATTTATTTGTATACAAACATCATTTTTAAAAATAGAAACTCAGGGGGAAATTGTGAACAAACAATCTTTTAAAAAAAATCTTAAAATATAAAGAGAGAAATTAACAAATTAGAAAGAAAGAATGTAATTAGTATAATTTATGAGAGTAGAAAAATATTTATCCAGGTAAATTTGATCATGGGTTTTATCGGCCGTGACAGAGTGAATTTGTAGTCAAATGAGGATACCTTCTCCGGTACAAATTACGCCGGATGCATAGTCTGTGCTTTCCCTCTCCTACTTAGGACGAGTGTTAGATAGCCATCGATTCCATATTATATATATTTAAAAAAATTGATGATGGGTTTTGGATTCGATCAACACTCTTGTTGCGTCATATTTAAAAGTGGCCTTTTTATTTAAAATTATAAAATAGACCTTCTTACATGATTTTGGTCATAATTACTTAGCTTTATTAAAGCAACATCAAAAAGTTAAAAAATCAAAGTGTAAGGGACTTTTTGTGTTGGCTTTCGGCAGTTTTCAAAATTAGCACAAACTCAGGCCCTCATACAATACAAACTATAAAGTATGAAGAATTATCTTACTTCAATTGAACAAAGAAAATATAAAGTTTTCTTGCCCTTGTGTTTGCCTGAGATGGTCACTAATTTAATTAGCTTGAATTATTTGGCTTTCAAGATATCATATGTCATCATTTCTTTTGGTGAACTACAATATAAAAAGTTTTACCAAGATAAAGGCAATAACTTTTAAGGTATATAAGCTTCGTCAACTAAAATAGTTATATATAAATAATAATTATAGTTCGTCTCATAATCATATTAATTATAGTTTGTTTCATAATCATATAATCAGACTATGTAATCTTTTCGTTAGTTAACTAACAATTGACCCCGATAGCCATTTAGGACAATTTTTTAAACTATGAAAGTTAAAGGTAGCTTTTAAGACTTATGAGACCAAATAGACATAAAATTGAAAAAATAGATACCAAACTCAAAATTCATTGAACAAAATATTTTACCCTCAAAATTTTTCAATTAAATAACTCATCGTGGCCAGAGCGAGTATAGCTCGACGATAATTGACATATATCTGAAGTTGTGAGTTCGATCTTCCGCCCCACATTTTCTATTAAAAAAGAAAAAAAGAAAAACTCATCATGCACTGTTATGGGCCTCGGTACAATCGAGCTATGGATTGAACTGTGGGCTTAGGAATATCCCAAGCCCATCTCCAAAACCGGCCGCGTTCAGATTTCAGAAGAATTGTGGGCTAAAACATGAAAAACGGTTTTTTTTTTCTGTTTTTTTTTGGTTAATTGTAAGAGTATTTGTTAAAAATAATTTAAATGCTTCCAAATCGTTTAGCATATTACAGTTTCCAGATGTCGTTAAATCTGACTTTTCAATTGAATTATATTAAATATAATTCAAATCATTAAGATATGTATATCTTCAATCAAAAGATCAATCTTTAGTTCTCACGTTGTTGAAATTAAAAAGTAAAAAATATATATAATAGGAAACTATATAAAAATAATAATAAACTGATAAAAATTGATTTTTTTTTCCTTTTTAATCTATGGTGTTGAATAGTACTTGGGATGTTACGTGATAATTTCAATATTGTACCCAATTAGTTGGGTGCAGAATATTATGACAAATTTTATAATATATATATATATATTTTGGAGAAAATATGAGGGAAAAAAAGGAAGTAAACATGAAAGTCAAATCTAATCAAACAAAAAATCTAGATATTTTCATAACATTCCAAAATACATTTTTAGACAATAATACCTTAGATTTTTTTAAGAAGTTTTCAAAAGATACTGATTTATATTTTAGTTTATAATATTTACATCACAAATCCCACATTTTAAAGATTATATATGTCTTAATAACAAAATTATACTTGGACTAGTAAATTTTTAATAATATTATTCGATTTTTCTGAGGCTTTTATGTCCCTAAATTTCTCTTTCAACCTTGAAATTTTGTTTTGTTTTGTATACGAAAATTATTTGTAATGTATGCACATACTTTTCTCTCTATTTTTTCCTTTTTTTGTACCAAAAAAAAAGTACAAATACAAACCTACAATAGTGTGATAATTTATGTATTAAATTATTAGCTTAGAAAGGGTCTGAGCCGGCAGTGCATTATTATAAAAAAAAAATTATTTGGCGTGTACCCATTTAAATATCTCTAGTAAATGACAAAAATTACCATAAACTCTGTATTATATAAACATGTGTCTACGTAAATGTAAAATTATAAATCTAACTATTTTGTTGAAACAAGTCGGGTGGGGATTCGAACTAATGACCTCTTAATCATAAACACGTGACAATTATGTTAAGTTAAAATTATATTGATAAATTATAAATCAATAATTACGTGTATAATTTTTACGACAGTTTCCGCATTCATATATCTAATGCATGAAAGAAAAAATAATAGAAAAGGAAAACAATTCCCACCCTACTTTTATTTTTATTAAAAGAATTAAGGACCACCCTATAAAAGAGTTCTTAATTCCAATTTGATATAGATTTTCTTTTTCATACTATCTATATTAAAAAATAATTGAAAACATCAAACATAGACTAGATTTAAATGACATTTACTTATTTTCTTTATCGTCCTAAAAACTAGATCATATAAAATACTTTCGTTTTTTGTTTTTTGTTTTTTGTTTTTCAAAAATAGAATTGTTTCTGTTTTTTTGTTTTTAAAAAACAAATAAAAAGTAGTTTTCAAAAACAGTTTTTGTTTTTCAAAATTTGATTTTTTATACTCAATTTTTTTCTTTTTCATATTTATCTCTAAAAAAATTCATTTCTTATTCTAAAATTCTAAATTTCTCTACAAACTTTATTTTTCTCTCTCTAAAAATTTAATATTTTTCCTTTTCATCTTTTATAATTTTTTTTCTTTGTCTTCGTAATCTATTTTTCCTCTGAAAATTATATTTTATTTTATCGTTCAATTTTTTTAACTATAACTTTTATTTATCTTTTTATTTTCTCCAAAAATTATATTTTGAATCTTGTTAATATCTCTAAATTTGTTTCCACTATAATTTTTTTCTTTCTTTATAATTTCTTTTTTTTCTTTAACATATCTTTTCCTCTCGACTTTTTTTGTCTATAATTTTTCTCTTTTTGTCTTTTAACTTTTCTTTAACTTTTTTTACTTAATCTTTTTATTTGTCTCTCTAAAATTTATCTTCCAAAAGTTTATTTACATCTCTAAACTTGTATTTTCATGTCTTTAGGGAAGACAAAAATTTCCGCAGGGTCAGGTCCCAAAAATAGGAAATGCATGTCCCGACCCCATCCTCGATTCTATTTTTTAAATAATTAATATATATTTATTACACTTTTTTAATACGTACATTCTAAAAATAATTAAAAACAATTATAAAACCGATAATTTTTCTCGAGAACATCTCTCGGACCCAAGAACGAGGTGGAAATGGAGACTCCAAATTTTCACGAGCAAACTCACATATCTCTACTCTACATAAAATTTTCTCTCTCTAATATGTATTTTCAATTTTCTAACTTTTTTAAAAAAAAACTAAAAATGATTATCAAATATATTTTAGTTTTGTGAAAAAAAAAAACAAAAAAGGATATATATATGGTTTTTGTTTTTTAAAAATAGAAAATCAAAAATCAAAAACAAAAAACAAGAAAAACGAAAAATCAAAAACTAAAATGGTAATAATTTAATGGATTGTTATCAAATTAGTAACAATTAAGTGAACTTTAATATTTAATAATATAAATAGAGATAGAGAGAGCAAGTAGCAACCACATCACAATCTCGCATTTGTTTTCCCAAATGGATCTCTGAAAGCAGCGAGATCCAAAATCCAAAATCGCCCCAATGGCGGCGGCGGAGCCAAGTTCCACAAATCAAAGATGGTCTCTCAACGGCTTCACCGCCCTCGTCACCGGCGGCACCAGAGGCATCGGGTTAATAACCTCCCCACGCTTCTTTCAATCTTCTTCTCTTCACTTTCTTCAATAATTCTCAACAATTTTTGAACTTTTGCCTTCAGATACGCCATAGTTGAAGAGCTCGCTTCTCTGGGGGCAGCCGTACACACGTGTTCCCGAAACCAAACAGAGCTCGACCAGAGACTCAAAGAATGGCACCAAAAGGGCTTCAAAATCAGCGGCTCGGTCTGCGATCTCACTTCAACGTCCCAGCGAGAGCAGCTAATTGAAGCCGTCTCCTCCATCTTCAACGGAAACCTCAACATTCTCGTAATTATGATCTCTCTCTCTCTCTCTCTCTCTCTCTCTCTCTCTCTCTCACTCCCAATACCAAAAAACACCCAAAATTTCCCAATTTCTGAAGCAAAAAAATGGTGGGTTTTGTTTTGTTTTGAAGGTGAATAACGCGGGGACAGTGACAATGAAAGCAGCAACGGAGCACACGAGAGAAGATTATGGGAGTGTGATGAGCACCAATTTTGAGGGGCCTTATAATCTCTGCCAAATTGCACACCCAATCTTGAAGGCATCTGGGCGTGCGAGTATTGTGTTTGTTTCCTCCGTTGCGGGACTCACCGCTTTGCCCAGATTATCAATCTATGCAGCATCTAAAGGTGTGGATTTTGTTTTGTTTTATTAATTCATCCCTGTTTGTTTCTCGGGAAAAATTAGTGGAAATTTCAAGAAATTTTCATTTCACTGTAGGGGCAATTAACCAACTTACGAAGAACTTGGCGTGCGAATGGGCCAAGGATAATATTCGCGTCAATACTGTGGCTCCCTGGGCCGTCAGGACCACAATTTATAAACCGGTACTCTTCGCTTTAAATATATGTTCTGTTTTAGACTCTCCTTTCGGTGTTTTTTATGAATAATATTTAGTATAAAACTTAAATGCCTACTGTCCGTGGGCATTTAAATTTACACATTTACATATTTAAGTATTTACATAGTTGATTAACATCCCTACAAAAAATGGTGATGGGTAGAAATATACCTTCTTTTAAGAAATGTAGGTGGGAATATGCCTATGCCTACTTACTAATAAATTTTATCATAATATTTAGATACCAATTTATTTTTTGAAAAAGCTGAATTATATTTTCCCTCTCTTCCCGCGTCATTTCTTTAACTATATGGCTAAAGCACCTAAATATTATTATTTTTATTATTATTATATACCAGGTTTTAATTTTTTTTAGTACAACATGTGGAGATAGCAACTCGAACTTAGATATTTTAGTCGGAAATACATATCTTTATGTCGTTAAATTATGCTCATGTTGACACATTTAAATATAATCTTATAGAGTTTTTAAATATTTAAATTCACTGAATTTATAATTGCATAATACTTAATTTGCATAAATTTAGAGAAAGAATTAAATTATTTAAAAATAATAATAATAATCGTGCTTATTTCTTAGAAATTTGGATGATTGAAATAGAAAATTCTCTCTAAAACAGATCATTTTTTCTCAAATTTCTTGTCAATTTTCATGTAAATTATCAAAACTTAAAGAACCTAAATGAAGTCTTTTAAATAGTAGAGATTAAATTAAAAAAAAAAAAAGAAGTGCTGAAATATTAGAATAAAGAAACTATTGGTGGACTGCATTTGCAATTTGGGTGTTGGGAGCAGGATGCGGCGGTTTCGGAGGATTTTGGTCGGCTGATCGGGCGGACGCCGGCGGGTCGAATTGGAGAGGCGAATGAGATATCTTCAGTGGTGGCGTTTCTGTGCCTTCCGGCAGCTTCCTACGTCACTGGCCAGATCATTTGTGTTGATGGTGGCTACACAGCCGGTGGCTGCTAGCAAAATATCATTTCCGTGGTGTAACATTGTTTTATTTTTTTTTTTACTATTAATCATGAAGTCATTTTTATTTTATTTTAGTTCTTAAACTTTATTCTTAGAGAATTATGAATGGTTAAATTTTAGTGGATCATTTCAATATCAATTATCTTGCCATTTTACGTCAAATGATTTGGATAGCCCACCTACTTTCGGAACATTTGCTCCTTGTTGGGTTCTGGTTGGAGTCCATCTGCATACTATTTTTATTTCTAAGTACACTCCCTTTTTATATTACGTAGTTTAGCTATTTTTAATCATCACATAAATCTTCTCCTCCTACCTGAAGAAATTATGTCTCAGAAAAAACTATGTTATATCGATATGGCCCCAGCCAGAACTCCCTAGAGTATTTGTTTTCTAGTCATCCGTCAATGGTATACATATACTCATTCTGAAGGGGGAAAATTTGTGTCTTGTTTCTATTTTTATTTTGTTCAATTAGTTTATTATCATATCTAATTAATAATTTTAATGACATGTACTAATTAGAACTAAAATTGAAAGTTAAAGGTAATTGACATTTTCTAAAATGACTAAACTAAGAATAATAAAGCCCAAAAAGCTATCAGTGTTAAAAGCAGGGTTGGCTCGAAATACACTTAGCTACGTTTTGATTAGTAGGAATTTGACTAGTTATTAAGAATACATGATAGAGAAGAAGAAGATCACACAATTTTTTTTTATGAAATAGAAACAGATTCTATTGTAGTTTGTAATATGATTTTGAATCACTCTCGATCTAATGCCATCATCCAACCATTATTGAGGAAAATCACACAGCTGATGGATCTTGGAATGTTTCGATTAAACATATCTATAGAGAGACCAATTACTCTGCTGGTTAGCTATCAGAGCCTATCAACGCCGTTTTAGGGTCCATATTTGTGAAAATCCTCTTAGAGGATTATATTCATTATTGATGATAGATTTATCTGGGGCATGATGCCCTGTTTAGCCATGGTGTAGTTTTATTTCTGGGCAATTGTCCCTTCGTCCTCCCAAAAAAAAGAAGTCAATTTTAATAATGATTAGTTGAAATAATAATTGGTAAGTAATATTTGAGTTTGCTCGCCACGTTTGAGTATAGTTCAACAACTCCGACTAAAAAAAGCTGCGAGTTGAAATCACCGCACACACATGTTATTCAATCATATCTTTTAATGGCGTTGAATATGAATTAAATATCAAGAGGCTTCTTAGAGAAACAAACAAATGAATCAAGAGGGGGAAAAAAAAGAAAAAAAAAATTGTAAAAAAGTAATGAGACATATCTGAGAAGAGAAGGCACATGAATCACGTTGCTGCACACGAGTAAGATCCATTAGCGATGCTGTAATTAATTAGCGGCGTTGAATCAGAACGAACAGCAGATGGCGGAAGCAGAGCAGCGGAGCAGAGGCCAAAGATGGTCTCTGAAGGGGATGACCGCTCTCGTTACCGGCGGAACCCGCGGCATTGGGCGGGCCACGGTGGAAGAACTAGCGGCGTTCGGGGCCGTGGTTCACACGTGCTCTCGAAGCCAGCAAGATCTTGACCAATGCCTCAAAGAATGGCAAGAAATGGGGTTCGAAGTCACCGGATCTGTGTGCGATGTGCACATCAGAGAACAAAGGGAGAAGCTTATGGAAACCGTCTCCTCTCTCTTCAATGCCACACTCAACATTCTGGTGAAACCAAAAACATGCTCATAAATCCCAAAATCTGTTCGTGATTTGATTTTGGATGAGAGTATTTTTGTACTTTGCAGGTGAATAATGCAGGGACTATGGTGATCAAGAGCGCAGCAGAAATTACAGAGGCAGAGCTTTCGAGGGTAATGAGTACAAATTTCGAGGCCTCCTTCCATTTTTGCCAACTTGCACATCCGCTGCTCAAAGCTTCTGGCTATGGAAGCATTGTCTTCATCTCCTCTGTTTCAGGCTTGATGTCCCTTCCATTATCTACTGCCTATGCTGCATCCAAAGGTAACACATTTCACACTTTTTTTTTTTTTTTGGGAATTGACATTTTTGTACCACGTTTTGGACTTTAGGATTCTTTGTTACAAAGGGAGTTTCTCATAAGGGATTGTTTGTTAAGGAAGGTGCCATAAATCAAATCACGAAGAACTTGGCTTGTGAATGGGCAAAGGATAACATCAGAGCAAACGCAGTGGCTCCATGGATCATAAAAACTCGCTTTGTGGAACCTCCCTCTGTAAAATTTCAACTTTTCTTTTTGGATCTCTTTCGAATTTAATTGAACAAATTATATTATTGCTGATTTTTGTTTGTTTGTTTGTTTTGGTGACAGGATAATCCGGTACATGTTGAAACAATGAAGTACATGCTATCTGTGACACCTCTGAAACGAGGTGGAGAGCCACATGAAGTGTCATCGTTGGTGGCGTTTCTTTGTCTTCCAGCTGCGTCTTACATCACTGGCCAAGTTATTTGTGTTGACGGTGGCCATACTGTGAAGGCTTTCCCCTTCCCTGATCTTTGAAATTCTCCCAAGTTTAAGTTCTCTTTTTCACACTAGGGCATCTATTTATTCATGTTTGGTTGAAAATCTGGGAACATATCTTATCAATATTTATAGGTTCTATTTATTTCAACACTAATGTTATATACGAATTTAGGTGGAATATGTGGTGCCTCTACTAATTCCTTAGCGGTGAATACAAATAATTTATTCTTTTGCTAATTGGTTGTACAAGGCAAACTAGGTTTGAGTCTCGATAGCGATAGCATTTATGTTGTAATAGATGTATTAAATTTCCTCTCTTTTTTAATATGCCGGAATTACGTCTCATTTTGAAGCCCCAATTAAGCACGATTCTATAAATAGAGACTGAATTAATTTCAAAAAGAGAGACGACCCATGAGACTAACCTCTCTACTTTCTTTTTACTATGAAATTTTTTCAATTTCTCTTAAAAATTTTCCACGAAAAAATATTTACGTAGAGTAGTTTATGTTAGTTTTAACTCTTAATGTAATTTATCCAAATAAGATAGATGATGAAGGTGCTAAATTTATACCAACCTTGATGGATATACATAATTGCATCTATTTATTCTTTATCACCAATAATTTATTTTCTAAAAATAAAGTTTGAAGCCTAAATATATTCATGTTATAATTGTACGGATCAGTGAGACAATGTTTCTATTGTATAAAACCTTTTAGGTAAAATCAAAACCATAAGTGATTTTACTCAAAGTGAATAATATCATATCATTGTGGAGATATACGTAGAGTGTTATAAAATTAATAAAATGGCATCATGAAGTCAAAATTAATATTATAAAATGGCCCAAGTTTTTACACTCCAAACTTAGAATCGGAATCCTTCCTCCTTTTAAGGTATGAGAATTCAAAACCAAAGTGACCAACTCTTTTCGTACCTAGACTGTTGATGGGAAAGAATCAACAGTTTGTTGGCAAACGAAAAATATCATACAGGTGAAAATCTTATATATACATATGGTATATACAAATTTCAGCTCCATATATGTATGCAGGCATGTTTCAAAGCTTCGGTGTGATCAAATTGTGCTTATCAACTATATTACTAGGAAAACATCACATAATCAACCAACATATGAATTACAAATCTCACTCTTGGTCAGTGTCTTCGTATCTTCTAGACATTATTTAAGATGATGGCTCAAATCCTGCTTGAGATGGGGTTTCGTTTGCGCTGGAGAAGATGCATTAGAGGCCAGAAGATATCCATTCTATGAAAGCCCCTCGGAGCCTGTGGGAAGGTCAACAAAAAGCTTCAATATGATATTTTACTTCTTGATAATTTGAACAGAATAGAAGTACAAACCGCATACCTCGACGATAAAATGAGCCCAGGAGTTGTTTGAATGGCGTTCAATCACACCCTTCAATATTGTTATTTCCAAATTTCGGATTATTTGAGCAATCTCTAGGAAGAGTCCCATGTCATTGCATAGCATCTAAAAGATGATGGTATCTAGTGTTAGATTGCGCGCTGGCAGTTTCGGAGAAAAGAGTAAAAAGGTAATAAATAAGAACCTTGATAAGCATGTGTCCCTGGTATTCTAGATCTTCTACAACGATGGGGCAAACTTGGGGATCACTGCCAATTTCAAACGCCCAAGTCCAACTAGCCCCATTTTGCCGAAAATCCTCGTTATCGAGAGCAGTGTGATTCTCGGAATCAGAATCCTGAAAGAGCATTCCAATGCATTTTTAGAGCACAAGCAAGAAACTAAATTCAAGCTAAAAAGGCATTTACTTTGATGTACAGCACAACCCTTTAATTTTCATATACCTCCTGTTGGGCGGCTAGTTGCTTCAGTTTGTCAGCTTGGTCAGTTACACGTTGTAAGTACAACATGTGCTTTATTGTTTTCTCTAAGAGACCATCAATGCTACACTGTTTACCATTAGACAACCAAGCAAACTTAGTGAGAAGGGAAAAGAAACCAACGAAATGTCAATTGGCATACTACAGCAGTTCTTAACATCCACCTTAGCGCCATTTGGGACAATTTGCCGCAACTCTTTGATACGATCCTGGATCAATTGTCTATCCCTTGGTCTTTGTCTTGGACTAGAAGCAACTTTGGTCCGACGGCTAGAATTGGAACTTTTCATCCCTTTCCTCTGTTGAGCGATGTCACAGTCATTTTTTTCCCGTTTGTTTATAACTAGAGAGTTTGATGTTGACAAACTGGTATAATGTTTTCGGTCTATTTCAGTCACTGTAGATTCAGGAAAGATCCAAGGGGCTGGATCATCCACCACCATAGCTCTTGATTCAGACTGACTACAGTTTTCAGCAAAAAGACCTGATTTTCCTACTGTGGGAGTCATTCTAGCATTGATTGTGCTATTTGAAAAAGTATCATCAGAATTATCAAATGCAGTTAGCATAGCTTCCAAGAGATGTTCAATATCACCTTCGTTGAAATCTCTACTGCACATCAAACTTGAGGTTGTGTCCTTGATTGAGCCAGATGAATCATATGAGAACTCATTAGTCTGTTTCTGAGCAAAAAATGCTGGTCCAAGTGCTTCATGTAATTCACAGTCGTCACGAAAGCTAAAGAAATTATCTGCCGTGCCATATTCTTTCTTCGTCACAAGATTATGTCCAAATACGTTGTCGGCTGAGTAAGAGTGAACACTATGGGGGTTCCCTTCAAACAAGCCATCATGATTTCTCAATTGAGTGGAAGCAGGTAGCAGCGATTCCGGAGAGAATAAATCAGAAAATTCCACTTCACTAGCTCTAATTGATTGATAAAGCAGAGCAAACGGTTCTTCAAGATTAGCCGCTTGCATATCACATTTATGTTCTTTTCCACTGTGAAAGGTTTCAGGTCTAATTCTTCTAGATACTGTTAATACATCTTGGGTAGCTGAAAAAGAAATTGATGTTGACAATGGTGGCTTAACATCTTCAGTAGCCCCATGGGTTTCAATTTCAAGCAAATTAGTAGTAATGTTTGTTTGCTCATTCAAGATCTCAGAGAGACTATGTGAGAAAACTGACGCACAGAGAGGAGGCCAAACACCCTTGTCTGAAGCAACAATTGCAGCATTTCCATCAACAAAGTGAATGGGACTGAATTTGTCTTTGATATAAGCAACCGCGGATAGGTTTTCAGAAACCTGAGATTTAATAGGACAGGAAGGCCAAGTATGAGATGACTAGTCGAGCAATTTAAATACTAAACTCAAGCACATGTTAAAAATCGGAGGGGAATCATTTGCAGCTAAATGATAAATCCATTGTTTTTTATCAAATGATTATACTCATCAGAGTTCTAAACTATCAGTAGAATAAACATTGAAAAGAATGGAACTTTTGACGCGCACCAAAATTCAAAAAATACTCACCGTTTGCAATGAGCCAAGCTGCAACACTCCAAAAGGAAGAACAGGCACCAGTAGAATAGTCTGCAAATGAAAACTGGATCGTTTAGTTGAAAGCAATAACATGTGTTTCATGCAAATAAAGAACTATCGAAATGTGAAAGCATGGATAATGCAAGCTAGAGCAGTTGTATTTGTAATTCTCAATAATATGTTGTACAATTATGAATTTTCAAATGCACCTACGGGTGGACATGAGGTGGCATCAAAATTATATTACCTTGATACCAGATGCATATTGAATTAGCCATTCGGTAGGACCCTGCAGCATAAACACATTAAATTATGTTATGCCCCATTTTTGGAAAACTAAAACAGGTTTACTTCTCATTTTACAACCAAAGTGAATTCACACGCACCTCATATATGGAATCAGAGAATACATCGCTGGCAAAAATATTTTCAAGGAAAATCCAACTATGATTTCCAGAACTTGCCACGCTACCCACAGTTCTGATGCAAAGTTTGAAGAAGGTAAAAATTAGGCATGTAATCTATAATATTTGAGGCATCGCATGTGAAAGAACAGTACATCTTAAGCACAATTAACTCACTAAAATAATTCTAAGAAATATGAAGGTTGCAAGGACTGATGGCAATGGACCCACAACTGCAAACAAAAGTCCATGGTAGCATGAGATGATAGCCATGGCAATAATGGAATCTGCATCAAGTCCTCAAAACCTTCATTTTAAGATTAAGCAATGAAAATACCAAAACAACGACCAGAACTAGCAAGTAAAATACCTATTTGTTAAGTTTCAGGCACATCAATTTTTGTAGGAGAAAGAGAGACAAAAAGTACTTGCAAGAAGGTGACAATAAATAGAAGTTTACCCCTCTCCCAGAACATATTGAAGGCATGACATATCAGCCACTGCTGGTCCAACTGAACAACTTCCAGAATCATCATTGTGAATATTTGTTCCATAGTATGAAGAAACATGTTCATCTCTTTCTCCAATCAACCTGTACTCTGTCATGCTTCCCATATGTTTCTCCGATTTTTGATAATTGCAATACCCATCTTCCCAAGCCAATATCCTGATGATAATCCAAGTTTTAAAATTAAACAAACTGCTGATGGAACTGAGCGAAAAAGAAATAGTACTAACAAGAGAGAAACTTACGGTGGACTTTGATACTTAATCTTCCAAAACACAGCATAAATCCAATGTGAATTGTTACAAAAGCTTTTCAACAGCTGGTGGAGAGCCGCAGTCTCCATCCGCTTGAGCGCTGACTCTTCAAGAGCACACAAATATGCAGAACAAATTCGAAACTAACCAAATATAGAATGAGCCAGGAAAAGCCTTCCCTAGCTGCCGCTGTAAGAGCCCCGGCCCGCCTGTTTTATTCTCAGACCCGCTCTTCGCTTAATTGGTGGCCCAGTTGAAGCTAGCAGCCATAATCCCATCGCTGAACAACACCACCACCACCCCCTCCCTCTACCAACCACCTGACCTAAGCACTATCAGAGATAACCAACTCTAATACAGTTAAAATCTACAAGAAGCAGGCTTCATTCACAATCTGGAATTCAATCTCCATCAGAAATGCAAACAAATGTTGTATTCCAATCGGCAAAAACAAAGAGTATCACTCTAAAACTGAAGTTTGAAATAGGATCGTCAACTTTCGGTGACCTGGATGGATCAGAAAACAAATGATGAGATTTATTCGTTGCCGAAAGAATTGTATGCTTCAAGTAGAACATAGAAATGAGCCCGAGTTTGCCATTTTGATTGATTTCGGCACATAAGCTTTGAGATTAGAGAAGAATTATCTACTTAATCCGCCCTCCCGTTTTCTCGGAAACCAAGCAACAGCAGAGAGAGAGAGAGAGAGAGAGAGAGAGAGAGAGAGAGTTACCAATAAGATGAAAACTAGGCTCCGAATCAGACAATTCCGGAATGTTCAAACTCGGTGGATTCCATGGCCGGTCTCTTTCTTTCAGCAGAGAAAATAGATAGATTTGGATGAGAAGATGGAACGGCCGAGTGGCAAATTGGCTTTTTCCAATTCACGCGCACTCTCTCTCTCTCTCTTCCACATCGGAGCAATCGCCTTTTTATATACTCCCACCTCCGCCACCGGTCACCGGTCGCCTCGTGCCCCCTCTATCTATCCGGATTCTGATGTTCTATCAATTTTGATTTTTGCAACTTCTTGAGTCCGGATGAAATGTCTGGCCCACACAATGTTCTACCGACCGTATAAAATTTTAACTTAAATATATATTATTCTATTCCCAAATCTCAATATATATATATAATTCCTACATTTTAGTTTTGTGTTCAATATTTGTCAATTAACTAATTTGACTTAATTGACAATATATTAAATTAACTTAATTATAATTGCTTCAACAAAATTATCCAAAAAATTTGAAGACTTTTCAAAGCGCACATAGCTCGAGAGTAATTGACATATATTTTGTGAGTTAGAATTAACAAAAATAATCATTTTTTAAAATTATTTTTAAAAGTTCTACATATTCTTTTAGTATTCAATTATATATTTGACTGTTCATACTTTCAAAATTTCCTTAAAACACAATGAATTGGATTATTCTTGTTGTATAATGTATACAAAATCTAGCAATCGAGTTAGTATAAATTTTTATCTTTTAGAAAATGTATAAAATTCACATGAAGATTTATATATGCTCACACTAATGCAAATAAAACAAGAAATAAACCACGTCACTGTAAAATTCAAGGGTTTCGTTTTATTTGAGTAAAATATTTTGTTAATGAAATTATTTATTATGTGTGTATAATGGCTCTATAGAATTATTTGCGAAGGGCGTTGAAAGTCTAAAAGATAGAGTAAGTGTTTTATTTTGGATGTATTGAGTCACCTTTCTTATCAATTGAATATCTTTCAATTGTCAAAATCTTACGATAATTGAAGTAATCAAATTACTAATCATACTTTATTTAGACTTTCAACAACTTTTTAGTAATCAAACAATGTCATCAAGACTTTTGAGATTCTAGTTGATCCTCAATATTGTATGAAACTTTCTATTTTAGTTTTTTATTACACAAAATTATTTTATAATGGTAGACCTGTATAGTCAATTATCAATAAAATTTTATTTATATTTTACATTTTCTAAATCAGAAGTTTATCTAACGCTCGCTTGAACATAGCTCAACGAATTAAATGCCTCGTAAAAGTCAAGTAGTGGAAAAGGTAAACCCTAGTATCTTGAGGCTTTACTAGAAAAGTTTGTGAGAGTTTTTATCATTTTGAAACAAAATCTTACAAAAAAAAAAAATGTAGTGTGATTTTTCTTTAAAAACTCTAAAAGATTCTACCAAAAATGGTTTAGAATTCAAGGTTTGATCTTATGAAATTTTCTGATTGGTTTGGAAACTTGATTCAAGAAAATCTACATTTTTAATACATATATCTTAGTCGGTCAAAGTGAGCGCAAGCAGATCTGAACACTAACGAATATAAAAAAAAAAAAAACACATATAGATCAAAAATTTAAAATGGTTAAAAAGTAAAAAAAATTCATCTAGCACTAAATTTTTTTATGCATTTCTATATGTCAAACAAAAGCACTTTTAAAATCTTAGTTTAATTTTAAAACTAAAAGAATTACTTTCCAAAATAAGTATGGCTTTTGAATATTGGCTCGAAACTTTAGAGTATGGAAAAAAAAGGATAAAGAAGATGCCCACTTTAAAATAATAATAATTACTATTGTTATTATTTTGTACCCTATACTTATTTATTATTATTATTATTATCTTTTTTATTTTATTTTGACTTGCATCATTGCAAGTAAATACAACCATCCAACAAGCAATTAAGATAATATTTTCAATCAACCTACTTTATAAAAAGTCTATAAAAATAGTATCCCATAGCTTTTCCTTGCCGCCTTCACCTAATTATCTTTACGTCATTCCATTAAATTAAATCATTATAATAATCAAATGCATATAGCTAGAAAAAGTACACGAAATATAAAAACATTGATTATGGTATAAAAATTGCCCTGAAAGGGTGATATAAATCACACGGAAAAAAAAAAGAAAGAGGAATTTGCATTTGATGCAAGAATTATTAATCAAATATTAATTTTTGTTGCGTTAAAAAAATTTACTTTTAGGTTTAAATTCTACTTCGCTAAACTCATTACATTTTAAAACCTTTTATTTTTACTATTGAATTTTGCATAAAATTTTGTTTTTTCTGTATTGTATTTTATTTTTAGAAATAATCTTATTTGACACTAAATGGAGCACATATATATTATAACACATGTGGCACCGACCTGTGAAGGGTCGTTTTAATTGAATATCTCAACAAAGAAAAGTCATAAATTAGAGATTGGAAATGGAATGATAGTGACGGGTCATTGTTGGATCCATTGAATTTCACAACTATGCTCCCATTATAACCGATTATACTTCTTTGGAACTCAAAAAAATATATTCTTTTTCCTTATGGAAATAATAACCCATTAATTTCCAATTAAAGGAATATTCTCACACCCTCTCCTTCTCTCCTTTCCCATCTGATTGTCAAGATGCAACTTTAGTTCATTTAGACCAGTGAATCAATCCATCATGATTATTATCATTGTGTTGCAGTCTTGAAAAAATATTTTTTTTAATACAACATGTGGGGAGTAGATTTGTACTCACGACCTTAGATGTATATGCATTTTAACCAGTTGAACTATACTCAAATTGGTAAAAAGAAGAAAAAAAGAACAGTCGGACCATCTACTTCATTTTTTATCTATTTTTGGAAAAACAAAAACTATATTTTATAAATTTGTCAAATTTTAATTATATCAAATTTACACTCTAAACAGAACTAAGTTGTAAAAATAATACACTACAATTTTTTTCCTTCCAGTTTTATGGCTAATCGTGTGTATTTCTATGTCTCAACCAAATTATTTTTGTGATATTTTTTTACATGTTGATACTATGACCAGATTTTATTCAATATATATATATATAATGAATTTGGTCACATTTCCACGGCGTGATAGTGTATTTTGTTATGGTGTCCATATAGGTACCTTGATATATAAAAAAATAAAAGTTATTGATAAAGAAAATATTTATAAAATACTCAAGAAATAAAAAATTGAGTGATGGAGACAAATTCAAAATAAATAAAAAAGGAACAAAAGTAAAACTAATGTACCTTTAAAATAAAAAGATCAAGTTGACATTTTAAAGAGTCGAATGGCATATATTAATAATAAAAGACAAATCAATCCAAAGAAAACAACTGATCGAGAAATTGGAACCACAAGTAAATTACTCTTCCATCAACCAATAACATGAATTTTTTTTTTATAAAATAATATTTTTTTCCCCGACCCACCTAGTGGTAGACTAATACTGATTTTATAATTCATTTTAATCTTTAATGTTGCTATCTTATTTGTAAAAATTGCAAGACAACATTATATTATATATTATAATGAAGAAACGTAAACCTTTTGTAAAAAAGAATTATTATTTAGAAGTTTTCTTTACGTGGAAGTGGATTCGTAAAGAATTTATAAGTACCAGATTTAATTGGACAACATGTTTGATTGTGGTTGGACGGTCTGCTATGATAAGGAACTTAATGGTATTCTATATCCAAACAAGGATTTACACTTTTTTTCTTTTGATAAAGGAAAAATGATTTACTTTCATCCTATGAACTAATGGTATCATAAAATATATTGTTTTAATTTGAAAAAATAGATTCACATCATTAATCTAATATCAAATATAAGCATTAGTTTATTTATACAACCAACTTATGTGTCTTTATTCACTAAATTATGTTCCAATTAACTAAATATTATAGATTTAATATACCTTGCTTCTTTAAATAAATTAGATAGGATATCCAAAATCTTAGTTTACTCTATAAATATGGTATTGAAATCAACCCTTACTTTTTAGTTACAACGATGTGCTTATAACATTATATTTCTTTCAGGAGGCTATATTAACATATGAAAACCCTCAATTAATTCTCAAAGTTTTGAGAAAATACCTTTATAGAATTCTTTTTTTGGATAAAAAAACCCTTTATAGAATTGCTCCCCTCGAAATAATAGTGATAAATACTAATAAAGATAGAGTATTTTCTTCCCCTAGTTCCACTGGCCGACCGTTGGGGAAACACAGCCCTGCCCCCTCTCGAGAAACGGGGTCCAACAAGCACTTATTGCAGAGGGGGCCCACAAGCGAAGAGATCCATAACTTTGGCTGCAAAATTAAATTTTTTTTCCGTCTTTCGTTTTAGTTCTCTTTGTACTTTCGTTACTTTTTTCATTCTCCATACTTCAAAAAGATTTCATTTTTAATCTGTATTTAAATTACTCTAACACAATAAAACTCTTTAACACAAAGCTACGACTATATTTCAAGAAATTTATTGATCAAGTATAATGTCATGTGTTGATGCAAGATTTTGACCGAGGCACGGAAGATGACCTCGAAGGTCGGCCACAAGCACTTAGGCAATTTTTCGGGGTACCTACAAAGGGATGACCACTCCGACGCCCAAATTAATATTCAAGCCGAACTCAATGGGTAAACATCATACAGGTTTTTCATATCTTGAGTTAGGGTCGACGGGTGTATTTATAACAGTTGGTGGGCAGATATATGTCCCATCAGGGTATTTCCCTGTTCGGCGAGGAACCTGGCTAGGGACCGTTGGCCGCTTGCAGCGACCGGTCCAATCCATGCTCCATGGCGCGCCATCGTGCGACTTCTCTATCTGTTCGTCGTTGAGGCCGACCTGACAGGTCGACTTTCCCGATGTTGTCACGCCCAAATCGGCCGCATGCAGACCAATCAACATCATGTGTCGAAATTTTTATATAAAAAGAAGATGAAAAAAGAAATAAAATGAAGAATAAAAAGTTAAAAATAATATTTAAAAAGAGAAGAAGGAGACAAATGATAAGCATGGATGAATATTCTGTGAAATAGTGATGGGGAAATCTAACATGTGGGTTGGACACACGTATGGACCAAAAAAAAGGGTAGGTAATGGGACAAGAGGGGAAAAGGAAGGCTTAGGAAGAAAGGAAAGGTGTGGAGGGGAGGGTACCCCACAAAGAAAGGGACACCTCTGCTTTTATGTAGTGTACGGAAGGGGACCATCTTATGTAGGAATGCAGAAGCAACATAATTCAAAGGATCACAATCACAATGTGTGTGTGTGAGTGTGAGTGTGTGATTTTACAGGTTTGGAGTGAACTTTAAGGCACAGACCAAAAGTACCTCATTTAATAGTAAAAGGCAACATACCCCTACACTGTTTTATATCACCAATTTTGGGACAGTTTCCTGTACCAATACCTTTTACCTCTTGCTTTCTTCTTTTACCATCCTTAGCTTGATCACTGTGAACTACCCCAAATGATGCACAATATTCTACCCCTTCTAAGATGGGGGAGGTCAGAGGTGAGGTCAAATATATCACCATTTTCTCAGCTCATTTACAGCCTCAAAACTTACCCTGATTTCTTTGCTTCCTACTTATGACTATGAGGGCCTTGAAACGATAGTTCTCTCTCCATTAATTCTTTTCACACCTAACCTAACACAACAAATAGTTCAATTATGAAACTCCCAAACATATAGACATTCTATTCTTAATTTCCTCACCGGTCCAAACTCATTGTTGTTATGAGCTGAGATAAAGCTTTCACCATTTTCCCCTCAGCAACAAAACAACTGAACAGTCTCATCAACCTCAACCAACCAAACCCAATACTTTAAACTCACCAAACAAATCCCATTTTCCCCTCCTCTTTGTTTTCTATAACAGACAAAAAGTCTTCTTTCTTTTACCGAGCATGTGCGCATCTCACTCCAAAAGTTTCAAACCCATTAAATAATTTAATTTTGTTATTTTCTCAATAGACAATCGAAAATAAACCGTATTTTTTAATTATTTGTCATACGATATTAGGTTTCATTAGCTACTGTTGAATATTTCAAATAATGTGATGTGGTATGGAAAGACGTATTGTATATTTATTTTACGTGAAGAATTACTATTCTTTACGGTTTATTATTAATTAACTATTATATTTGTTACTTATGAGATAATAATTTTACTGATATTTTATCAAAAAAAGCAATGAATTTATTGATTATAAACATTTGTCAATTGAATCTTAATCTGGGTAAATGACACTAGTCAATAATTATTTACTAATATAACATCTTTTTTTTCTTTTTATTTGGGTGGATTTGTGAAACTTCTATCAGAATAACCTCTTTAAATTGGGCCCAATTATACCGGCCGAGATTTGAAAAACTGGGCCGGACTAAGACCATTACGCTTCTTTCTCGACCCAAAATGAACCTTTGAGCTCAATAGAGTGACATGGCTTCTTCAGAGAGAGAGGAGAGAAGAAGAGAAGTAGAATAAAGAATAATAATTTTTTTCGAATGAAGCTGAAATTAAGAATTATAGAAACTATAATTTCATAAGTTAAATTTAATTAATACGCGAGGACATTAAAGATCTTTGATATTAAACTCATCGAAATGTCAAAACGAGTATAATTTAACGATAATTGATATATATCTCAAACCAAGAGATTTTGAGTTTAATCATCTATCTCCACATGTTGTACTAAAAAGAAAAAAAAAATATTAAACTCATCCAAAGGTGTGAAGTTTGGACCTCTAAACCAGTATAATAAAAAGACCAAAAGTTATTGGCAATCGGACCACCCTTGAAATTAATAAAATTAATCATCATAATAGTCAAACATTAAGTAAGGTAGATCTCTATCCTATAAGTTAGTTAAAGAAAAGAATTATGCAACCAATTAGTCCATAGTTTGATGATTTTTCATATTCATTTTCCTAATGTTGTAACAATTGTCAATCTTAGTTTTAAAATGCACGTCTAGAATCAACTAAATTCAACCAATTACATAGAAGAGCAAGTCTTTAATTATTTTAGAATGATCAGATTTAATCACCTGAATTATTAATAACTTATTATTTATTTATCCTTCCAGTTCCATCATCAAATTTGACCCTTCTCCCTCTAATTGAAACCGTGGCGCAGGCAGATTGTTTTCTCTCCGCATTGATCATTTAAAATTCAATATTTGCAGCCGTTTGATTATCGCATGATGTCGACAATGACTTCATCTGCGAGCCCACGGCTTAGGACCACTTGGGTTATTAGATTTATAATAATTTAAAATTACAAATTCAACTTAATCGTATCTCAAATTTCTTTACAAAACAATAGATTAAATACACAAAAACTCGAGTTTCCGTGGCAACCTTCTCTTCTATTTATTTAGGGCAATTTAACTGTTAACATCATATGGTGGTGACATGGAGATTGAGATCAGACTATTTATAGTTTGGTTAGTCCTAATAAATCGTACTTCTCATATATAAGTTGTTACTATAACTGAGTATGTAGGGATGGCAACGGGACGGAGAATCCTCCCCGTCCTGATTGGAATCTTCGATTTGACCCCGTCTCCAGTCAAATCGGAGAATCCTGCATATTTTTTTGCATCCTTATCAGTATGTGATATGTATTCTATTTATGTTATAACAGAGTCGATATTTTCAATTTAATTGATTGAGTTGGCTTATTGTAATAGGGGTGTGATTTGAGTAAAAATAAGAAAATTTGGTGAATTTTGGAGTGGGTAAAAAATAGTTTGCAAGATTTAATCAAATCATAGGGACCCAATTGAAATGCTCTCAGATCATAAAGAAGTCGTATTTGGATAATTTTAAATATCAATTTTCTCGTATTATAATTGGAAATTTTTTATAAGGAGAACAGAGAAAAGGCGAAAAATGGAAAAGATAGCTTTAAGACGATAAATTAGGGCATGAAACTCATGTTAATCATTTTAAGCACCAACAATGAACAATAATTAAATAATTTGTTTGGCGGTGAGATGCTTCATTCATACACCATTAATTTAATCACAAACCTCACTTTAAAGCTACACCAGGCCAAGCAAACCACCCATAGAAACCATAAACCACATGTTTTTATTAAAAATCCATTGTTTCACTCCCTTTGAATTCACCAAAAACAATTAGCCTGCACACGTTAATTTATTAACATATTTCCCTATAAATTCATACAGAACAAACAAAAAGTTATACATTTTTTTTAAAAATATTTTTATGTATTTTTTATTTTAAAAATATTTAATGGGGTCAGCGTCGCTAAGAACCTAATTTTTGTTAATATATACAAGAAAATGAGAAAATGATGTTTAATTTCAGAGGTCAAATTTAAAATAGAGATAGAGATTAAAATAGGAGTGGATAAGAGATTGTAGTTTAGATAGAGCTTTCAATAATTACTTTTACCTATGGGCTGGTTTCGCGTTCAAGTCTTACGTGGCTTGGCGTAGACAGCTGGGCTCCAACTTATTACGCCACGTCATCATATCCCATCCCATTTTAAACCAATCCCCTGGCCACTTCTCTCCTCAATTTTCAAATTTCAAATCTCTCTGAGCCTCTCTCTCTCTCTCAGAAATGGAAGGTCTTATTCCCTTTGTTTACAAAGCGATTGTGCAGTACAAGACTGAAAAACAGGTGCC